TATTCTGGACATTGTCTAATGTCAACTGTTCGTGACTAGTCAATGTACACTTGGAAAATTAAATAAGCTAATTTCAACTCAAATGAACGGCAAAAATGATCAAAATTACTGATGGTGTTAAAAAACAAGTTTTATAAATGCAAAAAAAAAAAAAAAAAAAAAAAAGTTTTAATTTTAAATAGAAAGATTATATTTATAATGCAAATTACATTTTATGTCAGCTATATCATAAACTGAATTGTTCAAGAGCCAATGTTAAGGGCTTTAGAAAAACTATCTTAATATTTCATCTCTTTATTATGAGTTATGTTGGAGATTGTAATAGAAGTGTTATGAAATTAACCTCAGATTGGAAAAAGATTTATAATTTTCCACTAAAGTCTGCATTGTTAATAAATGTTTACAAAGAAAGATTATATATATGGGACAGTATAGATATTGGAATCAACACAGCATGGTGACTGCCAGTTTATTGCCTCAATGTAATCTTTAGACCCCTCTTCTGAAATTTTGTGTGTGTGTGTGTGTGTGTATATATATATATATATATATATACATATACACACATACATACATACATACATACATAATCTCTGAGATATGATATTTTTATTATTATTATTTACTTTATTGCCATATTCACATTTCAGCTGTTGTTCTGGCCTTCATGCGATTAGAATTTCAAACTGAACTCTTCATTTCATCCACTGGGGTAGATTATCCGGATGTATTAGTCACCCCCCTTTAATTCACCACTGCAGTAGCTAGATAGTGAACTTGCAGCTCTTTGGGTCAAGTCACTTGATCCAACCAATGCTTTTATCTACTGGGCCATGTGTACCTGAATTTTTGGGATTTATAAAGTTAATGTCTCAGTAAGCATCTATTTTTTTTATTTTTTTAAAACCAAATTGCTTTACTCTCACACTCCATAGAACTGGTTCCCATATTGTATTCATTTCTATGCTTAGTCAGCTTAGATTTTTGTGGCCTAGCATATGTGCTGATTCCTTAAGTTTTCGTATTTTCCAATGATTTTCTCTGTCTATTATTTCAACCTCATCCCACAGGTGCTGGTGATCCGACTTTTCCCTTCATATGTGGTCAGCTACACCTGATTTTTCTCTTTCCCCTCATGTTACTGCTTTATGGGGTTCTTGCAGTCTTATTGTAAGTGGGCAGCCTTTTTCTACCACATCTGCACAGGATGGTGTACACACAGTACTTAGTCATATTCTTCTCTATGTGGGGTTTTACTCAGAAGAGCTGTCTGCAAAGTGACAAACCACTTTTGAAGGTCGTCCTGATTTTATATCGACCACAGATCTTTTGTATTTTCTCCAATAATCTCTTCACATAGGGTAAGCATACTGAAGTTTTTTTCCGAGTGTTGCTATCCTCTTGTACCCTTCTATCCCAGTTTTTCAGAGCTGCTGCTTTGTAATGAGGGTAGTTGTTACTTTGTAGGATACTGCTTATATTGAAGGAGGTCTGAGCATACAAAGGCCGAAACGTCATGAATATGGCAATAAAGATGAGGACAACAGTCTGAATTATATCATTCATTCATACATACATACATACATACATACTACTTTTTCACTTATTAAAAGTAGTCAATAAATAGATATATATAATTTGTAAATGATGTATAATAGCCAATATTTTTTTCATAGTATATTCACTGAGATAATTAAGAAATTACATATATTAAATTACCTACATACACATTTTAGCTTCACAAAAATGGCCAATAGTTTGACCTCTTTTTAAGAAATCACACACAGCTAGTTTGAAATCAACTCAAAATTAGCTGACAGGAAATAGTAAATTGAAGGCCATCTTGGAATGGTCATCTCACCATTCCTCAACTGAACACTTGCATCAAACCTAACTCAGAATCTAAAAGTCTTTCCCTCAGTGAGAAATCATTGAGACAACAATACCACTGAGGGTAGGAGACCAAACTTGTTCTAAATTCTGTTGAAAGTAAAAAATCCTCCTTAATTTTGAATAAAACCTTACAGTATCCTATTATCAACAAAATACCCTCAAGAATAAACCTAAATTCAAGTTTATAACATGATCAATTAAACCTTAGAGAATTTTTTCATTGTCTTTTTACCAAATTCTATAGAGGTTTTTTCATTTATTTCTACAAGAATTCATTGCAATTTAGTAGAATAAACAGGTTTGCTAAAATGTCAAAAGGCTTTGAACATGTTCAATAGTAGTAGATTTCTATAAGTAAAATATAAATACAATATTTTCAAAACAAGGATTCTTTCAAAAGGGCACAATCACTAGCTTTCAAATTATCACATTTGGCAAATGTCACTAGCACATTCCAACAAAATCCATTCGGATGATTTCAGTCAGTATTCCTTAAGTAGAGTTTTAAGTAGATATAACAGTTGTAAACTATATGACTTGTTAGTCTAAAATAATTTTGTCTGGTCCAATTTTGTATTAAAGTAAAAACAAAGTTAAAGAACTACTAAAATCTTTTGTTATCATAGAAATTAAATATAAAAACCAGCCCGATATTTATAGCAGAGCAGAAAATATGGACAAATCTATTTCTGGTCAACTGCAACCATTTCTCTTGAAAATAGGCAGGTACCATTAATTTATGACAATCATTATCCAGTACCACTGATTTATTTATCACCATTAGTCCCATGACTCACTATGGTTATAGGATCACAGCTGAACACTTGACCAGTTTCCTTCACATATCTGGGTTAAAAGCCATAGGGAGGAATCCTTCATATGTAGTATGTCTTTGGTAAGTAGACTTGGAAATGTCTATCCTTCTTTGTTTCATTTAAACCACAATGTTCTCCAACTTGCAGGCTCCCATTGGCCATAGACACATGGCTGTTGCTTCTTTTGGGGAATCATCCATCATAACCATAGACTTCAGTCTATGAAGCCCTCTGTCCAGTGATGCTATATGATCACTGAACTGGTTCATTACATAGCTATGGGGCCCAGTTTACCCCATTGTGCTAGATGGCCATTGAACCTACAACAAGATTCATCTGCCTTTTGACAGGGTTTTTCTTTTATTTTCTTGCTCTATGTTCAGCTACTCTCTTCACCTGAAAAGCCAAATAGCAGACTATGCAGTAGGTAGAACTCTGTTAAATGGTACTAGTAGCACTCATACAGTGACTAACATATGCAGTATGCTGGTAGTGTGGCAGTTCTTGGTGTGTAAGGTGGGATTGGCATGCTGAACTGAAACCATTGTGTTTACTTTAGCACAAATACCCTTGCAAAAGTATAAATCCATCACTCCCCAGCCAGGAGTTAATGGCAGGGTAGACTGGGCTCTCTAGCCTTGGTTGGCAACCAGTCTAGAAGGACAACTCCAATTTCAAAACCAGTTGGGCATGGGTCTAACAATTTCACCTCACAAAAAAAAAAACACTAATATAGAAATCACAGCAGCAAGCCTAGCATGGTGAGGCTGTCACCCTATACTACACAGGAGAGTCTAGAGGACTTGCATACATTATATATTAAATAGTATGTTGTATTGGTTAGGATTTGTTGCAAGCCCAAAAATAAGAGAAAGTAATTTATTAAGCACAAGTTATTTTAAAACTTGGTCTGTTATTAATAAATTCAAAACTGATTTTATATTTTCAGTTACACAGGAAATAGCATAGTTTAGGAAAATAAATATATATTAAAATAAAAAAAAGAAAGGAAAAAAAATTCTCCCCTACCCTGAATATATTGATTAAGTATAGCCTTTAATTTTATATAAAAGATTCTTTATTGCTTATTGATTAAATGTTTAGCTTATTTTCAGGATTTTACATTTCAAGTTGAAATTTAAAGCCATGATGAAAAATTTGATCATTAAAGAGAACTGCTTTAAAATGTTAAGTGCTTTGGCAAAATTAAATGAAAAAAAATAATAATTTAAAAAAAAAAAAAAAAAAAAAAAAATTGTTATATTTAATTTCTCCAGACCTTTCATTTTTTGATACAAGATTTTTTTTCAATAAATATATCACAAGTCATAAAAAATAAGAAAATGTAATATTTAAAAAGCCGTTACAAGATTCACCATGAACCAAATGTCTTAGATCTCAAATATCAGATCTTATAAAATGTCTTTTTTCCTTTGAGTTTTTGGACACGTTAAATTTTGGGGACACAAAAATTATCACAAGTATAAAAATAAATTTTTTTTTGTTGTTTTTTTTTAGTAACAACTCAAAAAGTTGGGGTTGAAAAAAAAAAAAAATACTACAAAATATTTAAAAAACACACACAAGTTTTTTGGTATAATTTGGAGATTTGAGCCAATTTTTTTCAAAATTCAATTTAAAATAAAGAAAACATTTCAGCAAAATTAGAACTGTGACATAAACCAAGGCAAGTGATTACAGATGCACTTTTGATTAGACACAAAATTAAAAAAATAAATAAAATAAAAAGACAATGGTCTATTTTTTTTTCTTGGTTGTGGCAATATCCCATAAAGTTCACAGCTGACAGCAAGACAAAAACTCCATCTAATGCTAAAACTTCCTTGCTTTTCGTTTTTCTTCCTCCAATGAAAAATATTGATTGTGAATATATTAAAAAATCACGCACACAAAGTTCACTGGGTGCTGTACACTTTCCCCAAAGATTTCTGCAATATTTACAAGTGTGTGTTTAAGAGAATGACTGACAATGACTTATGCATAGACTGATGGAAAGAAGAAAAGGGACATGTTGAAACTCTTATTTTGAAGAAAAAGTAGGAAAAATATGACTGCTTTTTTTTTTCAGGATATTTGGCTCAATAAGTTTGCACTGGAAAGCGAACAGAGAAGACCTGAGAGATGAGACAAAGAGAAAGAGAGAGGTAGAAACAGAAGATGGTATGGAAGAGAGATCAATTAGGAATCTTAAAATAATTTGCTCCAGAAGCAATGTGAAGAGACAAAACTTGAAAATGGATGGACAAAAGTCTTCTGTATGGTGAGCAATGACTACAGACAGGGAGGGACATTTAAATTGAGCATAATTCTTGTAGTAACAAGAGAGATGGAAGAGGGAGGAGAGTTAAGAGGGTTCAGGTAGGCGGGAGTCTCAGCCATATTCTCAAGAAGATGAGAAATGAATGTGGAATTTGAACAGTTCACACATGAACCAATGATTCATCATAAGGCACATCCAGACTTTCCAGAGCTTCGTCCAGACAATTGGGCAGGTGGTCAGTGAGCATACTGGGACTGACCAGGATCTGGGTATACTGGTCAGGGCGTGTCCACTCCATGTGGTAGGTGGGTTTCTTGAAGAAACTATAAAGAAAAAAACATTTTGTTAAAAAGTATGAATATATAAAAAATTATATGTTAATGAGTAGCATTTAGTTTTGTTGCTTTTTTATCACAATTTTCAGGATATATTTATATTCTATAATTGTTAAGTAAACAACCAAGATATGAAATAACAAAAAGCATCTGACAAGCATTGAATTCATATGCTTTATCCTTAGTAGTTTGTTAAACAAAGTGTACCTTACTGGTTAGACTAAGAAAGTTGATCATTCAAATTTAGCAATATAGCCTTTAAAGGAAAACTCAAAACTATTATATCTACTACTAATAGTGTAAACAAACAATATGCCTAAAGTTGAATGATGCCTGCTGGTTAGCTTTTATCAACTAATTGGTAAAGTGCTATCCCAGTTTAACAGGCTCTCAAAGATAAAGGATGTGAGTTTGAATCTTGTTTATGATCCATACTGTTTACTTAACACTCATACTATAAATGCAAAAATGACCTGAACATTATAATAAAAAGCAAAGATGAAAGAAAAATTAGTCAAAAATTTATAACAACAATGCTTAATTTAAGGAATTTGTATATCTTAATATTAAGGGGATTCAAGTAAAACTTCCCTTTCTTAGAACATTAACAATAATCACATAAGGATCTAGCTGGGGAGCTGAGAAAACTGTGGGAAATAAATGCAGAACAAATTCCTATAGTAATGGGAGTACTTGAAACACCATCTAGAAAACTGAAAAAGCACTTAAAGAGAATTGGAATCAAGACGAGGATTGTAGACCTCTAGAAAACTACCATCATTTACTCTGCAAGGATTCTCCAAAAGTTCTTGACTTTTGAGGTATCTTGTTGACACTGTACCTCAAGAACAAAATTTCTATTGACTATGTCAGTGAGCAACACCAACATAATGACAAATGATTTCTTTTCTGGAGATTTTTAATAAAAGATTGTAAGCCTGAATATAAAAGCATAAAAAGTAATTATAAGAAAAGAGTTGAATAACTACAAAAATTATACACAATGTAATCAGTATTCAATGCATATTTCACTATCCACCCCAAGGGATTATGATGGGTCCTTTCAAGAAACAGTATGCACTTGAGTAGATTTCTAAGGTGTATATAGCGTATTTTCATGTGTATAATATGACTCCATGTTGCTGAAGCTAAACCAGGGAATAAATTATATCCCCAAGCAAAAGACACTGTAGTACAGACATCCCTATGCATTTTTTTTTTTTTTTTTTTGAGAAGTATCATGTACATAAATTATCATAATTTTTTGCAATTTAAAATTACAATTACTAGTATACACTATTTATATAGTGATATATTTATGTCTGGGCTATTTATGTAACTATTTTGTATCTTTATTTTTTTTGAATTGTTTAAAGTTTTCAAACTGGATATTTCATGTCAACAAACAGGAATATGAAGCAACAACCTCACAGCATAGGAAGTATCTCATTTTTCAAGTGAAAAACTTCAAAAGAAGTACATAATTTATACAGTAGTTAAGCCTTTGATGTCCCATTAATATTATAAAAACTTGACACATCTTATACATTATCTTTATTAATTTTTTTGTCAATTTCAGTGAAATTTCATGTCTTTGAAATAAAAGATGCTTAATTACGATGATTCACAATCATCAAATATCTTTTGTAAACAATTGTTATCAACACCTGCCTACTTTGTGTTTTATTATCTATTGTGCTAACTGAGTGTATTTGTAATCTTGCCATTTCAAATAAGGGATTTGTTAAGCCAAGTAAAAATTTCTGAAAAACGTATACTTGTGTATAATATGCTTCCCACACACATTTTTGCCTTTAATTTTCATTCAAAATTTCTTGTATCATGCACAAGAAAATACAGTACAGAAGAAAAAAAATACATTTCACATTATAACCATATCAAAACAAAAAAAAAAAAAACATCCAAGTTTAAATAAGAATTTTTAATTTTGAAAATGACTCCAGTTTTCAAATCAGGATACAAAGTAAGAAAAAGTGAAAATATTAGCAAAAGTCTCCATTTCTTAACCAAATAGTTAGTCGCTTAGTTTTCACACATAACTAATAAAATGAAAGTAAAATAAAATCATTTGTGGCTTAAGAGAAATAACATTACTGCCTTCATTTTTTTTTTTTTTTTAAACCTAATCTTTATAAAAGGAAATTTTTTCTGAACAAATTAAATCAGTGAAACTAAAATAAAATAATGCATGATGAAAAGAAAAAAACAGATGGATAGTGTTTTTTCACATTTCTTACCTTAGGTTATCATCCCTATCTTCAGTAATATGCAAAATAAGGCCAGGGGGATAAAGCTGTTCCTGCTGGAAGATGGGTTCGCCAATACTGCCATAATGACCTCCTGAAGAGCTACTGGTGCTGCCATCTACAAGGCCTTGCATCTGTTCTGCTATTGGACTCTCACCTAAGTTTGGATTAAACTGACGACCACACAACATTTGCCAAAAACCACTTAAAAAGATTTTATACTGTAAAACAAAGACAAAATTTACATTAGGTCATCTTGTATGAAGTACAAATATGGATTAATTGCTGAAAGAGCAAAAAATTTAGAAATGGTAGATTACATGTGGGAAGTCACATGGCCCAATTTTCTCAAAACTTCAAGTGTACATGAAAAAAAAAAAAAAAAAAAAAAAAGATTGATTTTTTTTTTTCTTTTTTTTACAGCTTTGTAGATTATTTAAAACCTAAACATATTTTGGATTTGTGGGAGGTAACGCAACAACTCAACTGATGATAGCAGGTAGGAACAAAGAAACCGGTGTCACACGTCCAACCTTCTCACGAGCCGAAAACTCTCTGATCCAAAACAGCAAAACAAGCCTGCTTTATACAGCCGAGGACCGACCACAATTTGCATGCGAATGACGAGACAACGATATTTTGCGTTAACTAACCAAGACTGCCCAGCATAAAATATGGGCGCCGCCATTTTGGTTCCTTTTACCGTTGGGAGGACCAGAGTTTGCACACTGCACAGATTTGCACGCGTTTCCGAGGTAAGCCATTTTCACAATTTTCCCCACACTCCCTCCTGATCTCATGATCACAAACAGGGCAAGGAGGTGGCAATCATCACCGTTGAGTCCCCCTCAGAAGGGGGACAACACAAGCTTCATCCTCATGCGTGTTCTTGTCTGTGGTTTGAGTGTCGGTAAACACTGTGTCCGCCGGGAGGCTGCTGTTATCAGAATCACTGCCCTGCAGGTCTAACTCAAGGCAGATTGAACACTCACTACTCTCAGACTCGGAATCGCTAGAGACGAGGACCCTGTTGAAGTGAAGTGCAAGAAGCAGGATGTGCATCGCTTTAGGATAGCCGAGTTTAAACTCTTGGTCTCAATTGCATCTTGTGTGGAACGATTGAATGTGTACAAAAATGAAATGGGAATGAAAATAGCTGGATAACCAACAATATGTCTTCAGTACAAAAAAAAAAATCCTTAAAGGAAATGCACCAGATTTATTATGAAATTCTGAGAAGCAAATACAAAGACTCAGTTATCATGTCATAAACTTAATGTTAAAAAAAAAAAAAAAGCAGCATGAAATCTACATATACAAACATTCCAAGGAAATTAAACAGAAATCATGAACTTCAACCCCTTCTATCTCAACAAAAATATAAATACAAAGCATTAAATTTATGCCCAACAGAAAATTGTAATTTAATTTTTCATAAATATCATTTTTTAAGTAACAAAAAAAGATGAAAATATGTTGCTTGTGTTTTTAAAAATGAAGAGGAAAGTAAAAATCAAATCCGAATTCAATTTTCAATATCATACGTGCTTTTTTTTTTTGTTTTTTTTTTTAAATCAGTTCACCTCAAGCAAGAGACTACTGGGAGTGAAAGAGAATGAAAAGATTTTAGAAGGGACAAGAAACCCAATCCTAAACAGGAAATATGGGACAAACCTCTACTCCTGTTCAAAGACCAAGGAGGAGTGTGAACCAGATGATAGGCAAATCAATCTACTCCTATTGAGAAAAAGTAAATAAATAAATAGTAAATAAAATTTCAGAGTTTAGGTGGATATGTTAGAAGTATAGAACTGAAGTTCAAAGGAACTAGAAAAAAGCCAATAGTAAACAAGGAATAAGGGATAAACATCTAGCATCCAAAAGATGGATGAGGAATGTGAACCAGAATTCATCTAAGTATGAATAATTTAACAGGAAATTAAATCTGTCTTTGGAGAACATATTATACAAAAGAAAAACATTTGACAATGTTGGAAAAAAAAAAAAAAAAATAATGAACATGCACAAAACTAAGAAAAGACAGGAAAGAAAAATCTAAATTTTTCTCAATATTTTCTGCAATAAATATTAAAAACCTCACCTTTTCTCATTTCATCATTCTCTTGATTTTGCTTTCATTAACCGACTTTTCAAACAATTAGAACATTGTTTTGAAGACCCAATTTTACTCTTATCTACATTGCTATCCAAAGTGTTTTTTCTTGGTTACATTAATGTATTTTACATGCCTGATTACATTAATGTATTTTACATGCCTGATTACATTAATGTATTTTACATGCCTGATTACATTAATGTATTTTACATGCCTGATTCCATTAATGTATTTTTACATGCCTGATTACATTAATGTATTTTACACGCCTGATTACATTAATGTATTTTACATGCCTGATTACATTAATGTATTTTACATGCCTGATTCCATTAATGTATTTTACATGCCTGATTCCATTAATGTATTTTACATGCCTGATTCCATTAATGTATTTTACATGCCTGATTACATTAATGTATTTTACATGCCTGATTACATTAATGTATTTTACATGCCTGATTACATTAATGTATTTTACATGCCTGATTACATTAATGTATTTTACATGCCTGATTACATTAATGTATTTTACATGCCTGATTACATTAATGTATTTTACATGCCTGATTCCATTAATGTATTTTACATGCCTGATTCCATTAATGTATTTTACATGCCTGATTCCATTAATGTATTTTACATGCCTGATTCCATTAATGTATTTTATTGATTACATTAATGTATTTTTACATGCCTGATTCCATTAATGTATTTTACATGCCTGATTCCATTAATGTATTTTACATGCCTGATTCCATTAATGTATTTTACATGCCTGATTCCATTAATGTATTTTACATGCCTGATTCCATTAATGTATTTTACATGCCTGATTACATTAATGTATTTTACATGCCTGATTACATTAATGTATTTTACATGCCTGATTACATTAATGTATTTTACATGCCTGATTACATTAATGTATTTTACATGCCTGATTACATTAATGTATTTTACATGCCTGATTACATTAATGTATTTTACATGCCTGATTACATTAATGTATTTTACATGCCTGATTACATTAATGTATTTTACATGCCTGATTCCATTAATGTATTTTACATGCCTGATTCCATTAATGTATTTTACATGCCTGATTACATTAATGTATTTTACATGCCTGATTCCATTAATGTATTTTACATGCCTGATTCCATTAATGTATTTTACATGCCTGATTCCATTAATGTATTTTACATGCCTGATTCCATTAATGTATTTTACATGCCTGATTCCATTAATGTATTTTACATGCCTGATTACATTAATGTATTTTACATGCCTGATTACATTAATGTATTTTACATGCCTGATTACATTAATGTATTTTACATGCCTGATTACATTAATGTATTTTACATGCCTGATTACATTAATGTATTTTACATGCCTGATTACATTAATGTATTTTACATGCCTGATTCCATGAATTGAGATTTATGGAGATTACTGATATAATAAATGATAATCATTGATAATTTAATAAAGTATATTCAATATATTTTTATTTTTTTTAGAAAAACAAAGTCCAAAGTGCAAATGGTTAAGTTTAAGCATATAAAACTGAAATGAAAATTGGTGCATGTATGTATGTATTTATTATTTTTTTTATCTAGAAAGCAAGTTAATAATGCTCACCCTAAAATCTGTCCTTACCTATAACCCATTAATATCTACCATATCAAAAATGGGACAGTGGGCATTATTTGGTTTATCATCTAAATCTGTATGAATGGCCAGATGAAGTATTTTCATTATTAATTTTCGACTAGTTTTTCTTTCATGTTCTTGCTTTTGATCCCAACAATCTGGTCATTTGACATTTTCCAATCCATTCTGCTGCCTTAACAATTGATACGAATAAGCAATACAAGTCAATAACCTAAGCAATAAAAGGCAATAAGATGAAAGAAAAAAAAAACAGTAAAATAATTAGCAGAAACATGTAATCTATTAAATAGATGTTTTCTTTCTTTGGTATTGGTTTTTATTACAGCAATAAGATTAAAGTAAACAATGCAAATAACAATTGAAATAATAATCTCCAACCAAACATGAATTATCCTGAAGCACATTTGATGTGGATATTGTTTTTACCGATTTGGCCAGTAAGATTTCAGCTGCATAGAGTCAAATCTAGTCTTATAGGTTTTTTTCATCACTCATGCCATATTTTTTGTTTACTAACAATAGTAATATTATAAAGTTTTTTGATTAATTTTTTTTACTAGTTTTTTTCTTTCTTACATTGTTTTTTTTATTAACAATGCTTGATCAAATGGCTTTATTCAGTAAATATTGTGCTAAAATGAGAATATTAAAGATGAAAGAAAAACTTGTTCAAAAACAAATAAAATTACAATTTATTTAGATTTTTGTCTTCAGACTGCAATGCTAATAAGAGAGAGTTTTAACACAAGAGAATGCATTCATTATCTCCACTTCTCTTCGTAAATGATAATACATATCATTTAGGAAAAAGAGAAGAGAAATAAAAAGATTGAAATTTTAAGAAAAAGCTCTACATAATGTTTAAAATGTTTAATGTTTAAAAATATAAACAATAATGTTAAGGGAAAAAAAAAGACCAGGTAATTGGAGATTATGATAAATAATACACAAATTGTCAGTGAGAAAAATGGCTGACCCAAACATTCCTGTAGCAAGTCTGGTGAGGGAGAATGAGAAATCAGTCAAACTCATTTTCTCCTATACCATCTAAAAGCAGGCTACACCTTAAATTTTGGATAACCACAAACAACGAGTCCTGTATCTAAATTCTTCTTGTACTTTTTAAAAGTATATTGTAAATATACATTTTATTTTGAATAAGATAAAAACATTTATTTTTTTTAAGTGGTTATTTTTGTTACTTATCAAGATTCTATCCAATTAAAAATTCATTTTACATAAAAAAAATAAAAAAAATACTGTCAAACTTTACACTCGACAAAGGTTTTAGTATGAACTTGCTCCATATTTAATGTTTTTGTTTACTGACATATACAAAATTGGTCTTCCTTTTGGCTATCACATTCACCTAATGAAAAAGTGTCTGAAGTTTACTCCGCTTCTGCAAATCCAGCTCTGATAAAT